GGGGGGGGGGGGGGCGTTCTCTATGTTTTGCATGCCTCAGCGGTTAGACCATTGACCACGCGTCCTCGAGGGGACGGAGCGTTGTTCCCACAGGACCGGTGGTGTGTGTGGGGCACAAATCAACACACAAAAACAACACCACCATTCTAACAAAACACAACCTGCCTCTGAATGACGTTACGTCGCCGGTGTGTGATACTACATACTGCTGTACGCGGACCGCAGCTTAGCGAGGTGAGATAACCGCCATGTACCCTTAGCGCAAGGTTTACGAAAGCTTTTGAGCTGCAGCATAGATACATAATAGTTCTTGGGGGAGGAGGAATATTTGACCATCCACCAAGAGCCGCTTTCGAAATAGCGCAACGTCATCCCTACTCCAGAAAGTGTACTTACATCCCTGGCACTCTGGCCCAATGTGTTACTACGAAATTCTAGTAACCGCGATAGAGGTCTCGACATCGTCCAGTGCACCGAACTCGAACCGCATCCACTTGGTGCATAGAGTACGATATGGCCGCTGAGTTCTGCATAGCCGTTGACGACTGCACAACGTCGCTGCCCTCTTACCCTTGGCGTCACCCCGGACATTAGAGCCGCCGCCCCCTCTTCCGTGTAGACCCGTCGAAACGTGTCCCCCAGGCCTCGGTAGGTCTCGCCATGCTTGTCCTATGGTGCCGGCATTTTCAAGATCGATCTTAGTTGACCGGGTAAAAGCTACCGCCTCCTTGGACTCCGACAGTTTTTCTCACGAATGCGTTTTGTCCACGGTGTCATTGGCAAGACCATTGGAAATGCAACAATGAGGCCGAAGAACACATGGATCTTACTCTACGGGTACACGATGGGTGGACACCCGGCACAAGCGTGCGATAAAACACCTCACGCGGTGAGTAGTGGGGCGTGCAACAAACGCTTGTCGGGGGTGATTTCGAGGAACTTACTCGATACTGGTCGCTACGATGCCGTCCGTGTGCTATATGAAGGCTCGAAAGGTTAAGTCAGGGTGAGCATGATTGTATGCTGCATTTACTCGTGAGGCTCTGCTGCAACACGCACCATCCCAGCCATCCCAAAAGAAACCGAAAATAAGTCAAGCACTGTTTTACGCGCGCTCGACGGGAAAATACAGCCCCAAACTTCTAGTGCGACTCGAACAAGACGTGACAATTGTTGTACCGATTGAACAAAAGCATAGACGCGGAGCACACAGACCTGTGGCGCTTCTTCGACGTGGTACAATTCACTAACCGACAAAAGAATTTCAGCCAAGCAAAAATAGTCGCGTGAGCATGCTACCGGTTCAACTACTGCACGTTGGCCTTTGCAGTGGCCAGCCACACCTCTCTCTCCCGTCACGTCCAACAACAGTGTTGCAACCGCAATCATCTGGGTACAAGTCGGGATCCCTTTTCGCAAAGGGTGCAATCTCCCCAACATCTCCCCAACGTCTGTCGAGGACAATAGATTCCCTCTTTCCACACGTACAACGCCGATCCTTAAAGGGAAGCCTTGGAACCACTCACCGTCCCGAGCATGAGTCTGGTCTTGACCACGTCCATGGGTGTGGTGACCGCCGCTGCGAAAGCCCCCGACACAGACCCACACCCCGCCGCCTCATACGGCTCCAGCGGGCCACCTCTCCGCTTCGCCCAGGCCGCCTTCAGGAGTACGACACAAACAAAACAACAACCAATACCACACCATTAGTTCGCGTTCAGCATCACGACACAAGCACAACACCACTAAAGACAACACTCATAGTTTCCTTCAGAAGTACGACGCCAACTCAACGACATGGAAACAACAACACTAGTCGTCCTTCAGAATGACAAATAAAGCACGACATTAAAATAACTCCAATAGTATTCCTTCAGATGTACGACACAAAGACAACAACACCGGTTATCCTTGAGCAGTATGCATATGACACATCAACAACAACCTTTCAATGACAACAACACTGGCGATAGCAACACCAACAACGTTTTCAACGGCGAATGTATACGCGGGACGCCTGTTCACAACACAGCACCCATTAATAGTAGTTGCGACGAATGCTACTCAGCGGCCTGCTGCCTAACACGGGGTGGTGCATGGTGCGACAAGACGAGACGTACCGCTGTAGCACGGTTGGTGTTGTAGCCCCATCGGGGGGGACGAAACGCAACACCTGGGGCAAAAGCCTACCCACGAACGCACACAAGTCAGCCAATACCACACCGCCTTCCCGATGACATACGGTGTTCTGGTAACCCCACTATTAACCTACTTCACGAAGAAGCTCCTGATGCACTACGACCATCCATCCCCCCCACAGCCCCACGCGTATCCACGAACACACATCTCCCAAAAAGCAAGGCCCGGCAGGGCCACCGCCGTGCCTTAAGCCCTTCGTAGATCGATCCATACCCCCTTCGTATATCTTACCTTTCGCCCTTCGTAGATCGTACCTTACGCCCTTCGTAGATCGTACCTTACGCCCTTCGTAGATCATACCTTAAGCCCTTCGTAGATCGGGAACTGGATGAAAGAGAAAGGGATCTCGCGAACCACCGTGGTGAGGTAGCCCGTGTAGAACCCCGTCATCCCGCTGTTCTTCAAGATGGCGTTCATGGTCTCTATCGCCGTACCGTGCAGCCCCGCCTGCATCTTCTGCTTGACGTTTTCCGTCGGTACTCGCACGAGACACGCCATCTTGTCCCGCCAAAAATCGCGAGGGGGTTCCAAGAAGCCACCGACAGGGTATGGGGGACGGGGGTGCGGCAGTAGGCCCTCAATGACGCCGGTTTATGCCTAGTGAATATACCGGTGCCATTTAAATGACTTTGGTATTCAGTCTGCGCCGAGCAATTCCACCGGCGCTACACAGGGCCACCGGCGATATACAACCGGCGTTGTGTGTAGGGCCCACTACAGCATATGTCTGGCGTGGCTCAACCGTCAGGCCATTGACCACGCGTCCTCAAGAGGATGGAGCAGCATTGTTCCCACAGGACCGATCGCCAATCGTTCCTTCCTGCTTTGCCAGAGGTGGTCCACGGAATGTGTTACCCGTGCTATCGATGGGGGTGGGTGGGTGGGTGGGTACGTTTGACTTTAGATTGCAGCATGCTCCCACCGCCGTCACACGCCCGGAGGACACTCCCCTCCCCCAAACCGGAAGAGATAAGACATCTTCGATTCTCTAGGCGGTAGCAGGCGGGATACACCGCTCAAAGTAGCAGCAATACCCCCTCAATCTCGACTGCGTAACCTCCTGCCGCCTGTTCCGATCAACGCACCGTTTCGGCGACTGAGGCTGCTGCCATGTGTGCTAGCGGAGAGTCCGGGTCCAGCGCGTGCTTGGCAGCCTCGTACGAACTAAAGAATAGAGCCGCTGGGGACAGAAGAGCGAAAAAAATCCAGGGTCGGTATGTATTGTTATGGAAATAGCTGCGCTGAGGTACTACTGTTCTTCTGTTGCTACAGGCTCTAGGAGCAATCACATCGACTAACGTCGGCGGGCTACAGCTTCTGCTGCTACGTGCCGGGGAACAGACACAATCCCCATCATATGTTTGCATGTACGGTGCCATGCTCACGAGCACCATACATGGTTGCGTTGCCATGAGTACTTCAACTTCATGTATGTATGATTGGATGCTTCAAGAGTACTGCTGTGTGCTGAGCGTGTGTGGTTTCGAAGCACAGCAGTGCTTGCGCGATTGTTGTCAAAGGCGACGACAGATGGTACGCATCTACGCCTGTGTGACGGACACACCACAGCTGGGCCCCCAGGCAGTGTTAAGGAAAAATAAATACACACACAGAAAGACTACCCAATCGAGATATACCCACAGTCGAACGGGATGTGGTGGAGTCTTTGATGACCAAAATGGCGGTGCCGTTTTGTTCGCCCGTCCCTGTTCCTCTCTCTCTCTCCTCCCTCTTTCGTGGTTGGCTGTCCCTCTTACACGACCGCAGTAAGCACGAAACTCTGCCCCTCCCCCTCCCAGCACCGAAACTCCACCTCCTGGAGCAGAGCCCACTGCCGCAGCGCTAAGACCGTTGTACACCCCGCGTAGACCACCCGATTTGACGAAGCCTTCGGGAGACTGCAGCCTCGTCTTGATTGTGTCTAACGGGTACAAGGCCACGTCCACAGCTGTGCCTGCCATGCCGCCAGCCTGTATGGGTCAGATATGGAGGGGGAGGGGGAGGAGGGGGCCGTACTCATGTATTGCATGCCGCACGTGCTAGACCATTAACTATGTGTCCTCGAGAGGACGGAGTATTGTTTCCAACGGACCGATTGCCAATCGTTCCTTCCGACGTTGCCAAAGGTGACTCATAACAATTGGGGGGGGG